TTTTGTAACAAAGGCCTCTTTAACACATTTCCCTTTTTATTGCTTTTATGTTTACACCATGGTTTCACTAAGGATCCTTCTCTATCTTTTCTCAAAGGGACTCTAACCCCGAAAACGTTTTCTCAAAGGGACTCTAACCCTGAAGCTTCTTCTCAAAGGGACTCTAACCCAGAGACTTTTTCTCAAAGGGACTCTAACCCCGAGACTTCTTCTCAAAGGGACTTTAACCCCGAGACTTCTTCTCAAAGGGACTCTAACCCCGAGACTTCTTCTCAAAGGGACTCTAACCCCGTGACTTTCTCAAAGGGACTTTAACCCCATCAGGTAGCGAACCTGTTTTTAATCTAATCTGATCTATAGATACATGACATTTGGCAGACCTCAAAACAGACCATAATTTAGTTCACTCAATTAGCAGACTTTGAATAAACAGGTGTCCGCTCTTACCTTTTGTCGAACAGGGCGCCAGGCACCGTCAAAAGTCCACCAAATATCAGCTTTTCCACGTCCAACCAGGTCTCCAGATCATGAACCAGCGCTCACTAGTACCGGGAACTAGCTTTCCATCGGCAGAGACCAATCGCCCGTCAAAAAATCCCCCGGAATGTGGACATGGAAAAACAAATTTAAACGCTTTGTCAGTCCAAAAAAGAGGACACAAAAAAATATAGTGAGAGAGCAAAAAAGCCCCGGAATCGTCACCTCTCCAGCTTGGTAAAAGTACCCAAATCCAGATGCTCTCAGCTCTCTCACGCTGAAAAAAAACTTTCTCACAAACAGCCGAGGCAGAGTCGCATTCAGCGCCGCATTCTCCACCACCTGATAAGAATCAGACTCATGCAAATTGGGATCTTTGTACGACAAAGCCTCCTGGCTGGTTTATTCACAAAATGGTCGTTAATTTTTCAGGCAGAACAAAAGTCACAGATACATTATATATGGAAATCTACGTCATCATAGAAAAGGCCAAACCTTCGGCACAAATAGCCTAAACAACGAAAGTCTCTGTGGTCCTTGAGACCGTCCCACAAGGCCAGGTTATTAATACTATTTTGTCTTGCATTTGTCCACCTGTGCAGTACATAGGTCACTGTTTACCACAATAGTTTGGGTCGAGAACATGTGTTTAGAGATAACTGTAATATGTGACTAGAGTTGACTTCTAACATCACACAAGTCACGCTATATTTGCCTGAAGTTCAGATTCCCTCAAGATCACTTCCCCAGAGTAACCATGGGCCTCGTGGCTGCATCTGTGGTTGGTGTTGTCCTTGTTGAAGCTGCCAGTTAGGGCAGACGCCAGTGTCTTGGTAGGTTTGCAGTTGCGCTATAATCTTTGCTGACATGTCATTTAATTCATAGTTTTCCCAGTGTAATACCATGGGATCTTGTCTGCATCTGTGTCTAACTTGTCTTTCAAAAGAACCACAAGAACATTTCAACTCAATAAGACTAAGTTAACCTTTTTGACTATAGGTTTTTCTATCTAAAAATAATAATAATAATAAAGTTTTTTCTATATTTGCCCCATGTTTGGATTCCTCCAGGTGAGCGGTGGATCTCTGCAGCTTCCACCAAGTAACCATGGGCCTTGTGGTTGCATCTGTGGTTGGTGTTGTCCTTGTTGGAGCTGCGAGTTTGGGCAGATGTCCGTGTCTTGGTAGGTTTGCAGTTGTGCCATACTCCGTGTTGACGTGTCATTTATCCGCTGGTGTTACTTCCTGAGTAGGCGTGGTCATGTTAACAAGGTGATTACTTTAGAATGCACTGGAAAACGGCAACAGGTCCTAAGTAGCTCTGACACAGTTGTTGTTGTTGTTGTGCTTTATAAATTTTTTTTCTTCATGGTGTTCATGGTTTTACACTGGTCCAGACCAGGGATTCATGGTCCGAACCAAGTGAATCAGATGAAAATCCACTGGAGGAATGCTAACTTTTTGCAAAATGCAAATGAACCATTCAGCATTTTACTTTGGACTAGAGCAGAGAAAATCCTGTGACCTGTCCTGCTCCACCCAGAGGCTACTCCACCTCTGCTGCTGTGACCTGAAGGGCTGTTGCTGATTATAACTTTTGTTAGCTTTTTTGAACGATCGAATTTAATTTTATTATTTATGTTTGCTGCTACTGGACACCTGCATTTCTCCGACAGGGATCAATAAAGTATCTATCTATCTAATTAGCAAGATTATTATTATGCTAAAGATATTGACTACAACTCATTATGCTAAAGTCAGATATTATATATTTCTTCTTGTTTATTCATCACGCTACATTTGGAGATTTTAGATTTGCTTCTTTATAATGGTATAGAGCAGGCGTTCCCAACCTTTTTCACCCAGAAAGCTACTTACCCAAGATGAAAAACAATGAGAGCTACTTCTTTAGGAGGTCCTGGGAGAAAGGAGGTGACATCTGGGGGAGCGTGAGCCTGATATCAGGTAACCATTTTGTCAACAGTCATTATTTACCATCACATATTCATTACTTGTGAAAAACGTAAAATAGATAATAAAAAATAATCAATACATTCTGAAATATTTAGTAAATTTTTTGATTTGTCCACTTCTAATTCCTTTGGCGAGCGACCTGGAAGGGAGACAGGGCAGGCTCCTTTTGTGGCAACCCGGCACCTGCCACAGCTGATTGTTACCTGGTGGGTCCCTTTGACAGGGCCGTTCAGAATGGGACCCATAGACATAATCTTTTTTTACCAAGACTTTAAGTAATACAAAACAGTCAATAGAAACCAAACAACTATTTTAAAGGAATTTTATTTTAGATTTTGTTTTCGAATTGCAGTGATTCTATTTTTGACATAGAATTTAATGCCACTCCATGTCCGATGTCTAAGGTCATCTGGTGAGGCATTAATGCAGGCCAGGCAGTGAGACTTCCCAGGGACCTTTCCAGTCTGTATGAAAGGTGTCATGGGTCTTCTCCACAGCCTTCACCTCAGATGCAGACCATGGCTTTCTTACACGTTCTAGGGAGAGAAATAAAAATATATTAGCAATATACACTCCCAGGGTGAGGACCAAGCAGCCTGGCTGTAATCCCCCACCTGGTACACTTACCAGAAGGGGCACTGCCACTACCATGGGGTGCATCTGGATGAATGGTTGAAGGTTCTCCGCTTGAAGTTTCTTTTAGCCCGTCCGTTTGTGAGAGGATCTCTACTGCTCTCCCTGTCGCACAGAAAATAAAAATACAAGTGGCCTTTAGGGGAAAAAAATCATACATATTTTAATAATATCAAGAATTACCTTCAGGCTCAATTTGTATCTGGTCGAGGCTCTTTCCTTCGAATTCCGTCACTCTTCCCTGCTCCATGGCCATCAACACTTTGCTGATTTTGGCCAGCTCCAGTGTCCCCTCTGGTAGTCTGTAATATTGCCTGTGGATGCGAATGTCATGGCCGAGGAAGTTGGCAAGTATGTCCATCTCATTCTCTTTCATATTGAGAACTGTAGACATAGTAGCTATGTGCTTTCTAAGTTTGGTTGAGGATAGCATCTCTGGATGCACCGCACCACATTCTTTGGCTACCTGGCGTAGGGAGTCTGATCCCCTGATGTGGGTGTCTGCGCCCGGGCGGGAAAAGAAGTATGGGTTATGGTCAGAGATGGAACAGGCCCTTCTGTTCTCCACCAGCACCTCCATCGAAGCAATCATTTCAGGAGTCAAAAGAACCGGCACTTTCCGACTTCTTTTCCTTTAATTTCAATGCGTTGAAAATGCTGACACAGCTTTTTCTCAAGTTGGGACAGTCCCAGAGCAATGTCAGAATGGATCCCAGTCTTACTTCTTAAGGTAAAGGCTGTCAGTGGCATCTTTGAAACCTCACCTTCCCTTCTTCGATTGAAAATGATGACCTCACAAAGAGTCAAAACTGCCAGTTTAGACCAATGCTTAGACGTTGGCTCACTTATTAGTAACATATTCAGGTCGACATACCTCACAGACGTCCCACCTCTTCTCAAAAAGCAGCCGGCTTCGTTGGAGGTTTTTAATAAATAGTTCATCAACACAATGCTCCATTTTTGAGTCACATTCAAGAATATCTGCTAGCTTTCTGAGGCTATGGCCGAGTTTGAGGGCCAAGGATGGAGTCTTGTATTGATTTGTTTCCTCATCATATCCAGCCACAGACCTGACTGCATCAATCACATGGTTAAAGTTGGAAGGAATAAAGAAATCCTTAATTGTTTTCAGTTTCCCTGCGGTTTTTGCTTCGTTAATTAACCTACCGACTTCTCTCATTTTCTGCCTAATGTAATCATGCTTTGTCTTATCATGCCCGTGTTTTAAGTACAGGTGCTCTCCGAGTCTCAGAATCCCCTTTTCTGCTTTGACAACACCCGTGACCTCATCCTGATGCATTGCCGAAATTAAAGACCACAGCTTTTTGCTGATGCCCTCCGGTACAGGCTGGGCTAGGGAGCAGAGGGACTGGACCCTACTTCTACCTGGTTTAGCCTGGGCATCTTTCTGTGAAAGCCGGCACCTGGCCACATGCCTCCACAGCGACTTTCGCTTAAGCAATGCCCCACAGTCTATACAGTGCAAAAACTCACTGGATTTAACTGGGCAATTTGGCTGTTTAGCTGGGACTAAAGTTCCAATGCCGGCCTTTAAAACCTCAAAATTGTGCTCACGGTTTCCACTATTCCTGATCAAATCAAACTGAAGTTTACGTGCTTTAGATTTCACAGGTAGAGCCAATGCTCTGGCTACGTCACTTTCATTTCCATGTTTTCTAGTCAAATGACGGGACATTTTGTGGCAGGACATTGAACAGTAGAGGCAGAAGTGTCTCTTGCTGTATACTCGCCCCCCATTTTTCTTCTTTTGCAGCTGCATGATAACAATCTTATTTGCCTTTGGTTCGTCACTTTCCGAGTCTTGAAGAAAAGTGTTTTTGATTTTTCTTTTTCCATACTTTTTTACAGGTTTCTTCTTGACAGTTAAATCGTCAGAATCTGAGTCGACTTCATCAATTAGGGACTCTTGACTAAGCTGCACAAACAACAAATAATTTGTAATCATTCTATATAACAATTTGAAGTCATGACTTGTAGTCAGCACTTACCAGTGGTTTGTAAGCGTGCGCTTCAGTGTGCTCCTCCATGATTTCTTGCAGCCTAATGAACCACACACTTGCACCTTTTTCTAGCCTGACACCTGATTTCCTCTGTTGTGCTGCTCCATGATTGGCTCCAGCCTGCTGGACTGAAATTGCCCCAGTGTGCCCCTCCTTGATATCCCGCAACCCACCACCAGGGTTCCGACACATAACACACTTTTTTCAGGAAAGTAAACCTCCAGGGGTCCTTTCCATATTTTTACAGAGACTGCATAAGGACCGTTAGAAAAGCATTACCCATTGATTATTAAGCTTGGACCAGTGGGGTCCGGTGTTCGGGCCCCACCACGTAAAACCAGTCCCCATGACGTGAGTGGAATCTCAGGTTATGGAACCCACCAGGAGTTGAAAACAAGTGCACACTCACACACACACACAGAGCTGCACTTATGAGAGACAGATCTCACAACACTGGATATGTTGGAGTTCTTTTTTCTTTTCTCTCTCCCCTTTTTCCAATTGCTTTCAATAAGTTTTGCCTCATCCATCGCGACGTCCTCAATGCTTCAATATGCCGTGCTTTGCATTGATCATAGCCACAGCTCATGCACATCACACACCGCTTCTTCTATTTAAAACTATAGCGGCTGCCTGTTGCCTAAAGCCGCAGAGAGGCGAGTTGGGTCCGATAAAAGTGTATGACGCGCTAAATAAGTAGAAAACAAACGAATAGGCTGGATCATAATAAACGCTGCAGTCACAGACCCAAACACACAGGCACGCACACTCCTCCCACCACACACACACACGGGCGCTCTCACGCACACATGCACGCCGACAATACATAACTCCTCCATCAGCCAAACATTCATTCATTCACACAATGCCCAAACATGTCTCCTACAAAAACAAAGCAGGCTGATAAACGCACAGCCAGAGTTGCGCGCTGCTGCAGCCGGTTTGACCACTAGTCCGTTTTACGGACGGCTGACGGACAGCAGCCAACGCGCGTCAACGGAGACGCGCCCGGTGGAGTCCAGGCCTAAGGGAGTGCCCAGCCACTGTGCAGAGGAAGCTCATTTCGACCGCTTGTATCCACGATCTCGTCCTTTTGGTCATTACCCAAAGCTTATGACCATAGGTTAGGGAGGGAACGAAGATTGACCGGTAAATCATAAGCTTTGCCTTTTGGCTCAGCTCCTTCTTTACCACAACGGTCCGATACACCGATCTACCTGTCAATCTCAGGCTCCATCCTTTCCTCACTTGTGAACCAGAGCCAGAGATACTTGAACTCCTCCACTTGAGGAAGGACCTCTCCACCCACTTGGAGGGGGCAATGCACCTTTTTCCGGTCAAGCACCATGGCCTCAGATTTGGAGGTGCTGATTCTCATCCCAACCACTCCACTTAGTTGCAAACTGAGGAGATGAAATCCTGTGATCTCCAAACTGGATCCGGCCCTTGGCTGCGCCTAGAAATTCTGTCCATAAAGACAGTGAACAGAATCAGTGACAAAGGGCAGCCTTGGCGTAGGCCAACATGCACCAGGAACAGGTCTGACTTAGAGCCGGCAAAGCGAACGCAGCTCTTGCGCCAGTCATACAGGGACCGGACGGCCCTCAGCAATGGACCCCGGACCCCGTAGTTCCGGAGAACCCCCCCAAAGGACACCCCGGGGAACACGGTCGAAATTGGCACCACCCCCGATCGCCTACAAAATCCAGAGACTTTAGATAGTCAGGGCGGATCTCAAGCTCCCGGAGCCTTACCACCAAGGAGGCTGCCAACCACCTTGGTGACTTCAAGGAGGGAGATGGAAGTATCCGCCCCAATGTCTTCTGCCTCTGCCTCTGTTACGGAGGACTTGATGGGGGGGATTGAGGAGAACTCGAAGTATTCCATCCACCTCCTAACAATATCCCCAGTTGAGGTCAGCAGCTCTCCACCCGCACCGTACATGGTGTTGGCAAAGAACTGCTTCCCCCTCCTGAGGCGCCGGACGCCATGGAGCATGACCAATAGTCATGCTCCATGGACTCTCCGAACTCCTCCCAGTCCCAGGTTTTTGCCTCTGCAACAGCCCGGTGCAGCGCCACGCTCGGCCAGCCGGTAGTGAACAGCTGCCTCAGGAGTCCCATGAACCATCATGGCTCGATAGGACTCCTGCTTCAGTCTGACGGCATCCCTTACCATGGGGGGTTGCCGCCGGGACCAGCACCAGAGACTTTTACGACCACAGCTACGAGCTGCTGCATCAGCGGTGTTGAACATGGTCCACTCAGACTAAGGCCTGGACTCCACGTTGGCTGCTGTCCGTCGGACGGCCGTAAAACGGACTAGTGGTCAGTCAAACCGGCTGCAGCAGCGCGCAGCTCTGGCTGTGCGTTTATCAGCCTGCTTTGTTTTTGTAGGAGACACGTTTGGGCATTGTGTGAATAAATGAATGTTTGGCTGATGGAGGAGTCATGTGTTGTCGGCGTGCATGTGTGCGTGAGCGTGGGCGTGTACGTGAGAGCGCCTGTGTGTGTGTGTGTGTGTGTGTGTGTGTGATGGGAGGCGTGTGCGGGCATGTGTGTTTGGGCCTGTGACCGCAGCGTTTATTATGATCCAGCCTCTTCGTTTGTTTTCTACTTATTTAGCGCGTGATACACTTTTATCGGACCCAACTCGCCTCTCCGCGGCTTTAGGCAACAGGCAGCCGCTATAGTTTTAAATAGAAGAAGCGGTGTGTGATTTGTATGAGCTGTGGCTATGATCTATGCAAAGCACAGCATATTGAAGCATTGAGGATGTCGCGATGGATGAGGCAAAACTTATTGAAAGCAATTGGAAAAAGGGGAGAGAGAAAAGAGAAAATAACAGATCCAGTGTTGTGAGATCTGTCTCTCATAAGTGCCGTAGCTCTGTGTGTGTGTGTGTGTGTGTGTGTGTGTGAGTGCGTGCGTGTGTGTGTGCGGTGAGGAGAGAGCGCCTCGCAGGTAGACGGGACAGAAAAAAAAGAAAAAAGAGCGAGGGGTATGTAAAGTTTAGCATGTTAACATTACGCGAAAAATAAATGGTAGATGTACGATCAGGAAACAATTATTTTAATTAATACATGAAAAAAATTACACACGTTTGTTAATAATCATTGTCATTAACAAATACTTATAACCAAGGACTACAGCGTATATCAATACATGTTTAATAATGTGGTAAATATATGATTCCATTGTATTTTCAATGGAAAACGGACCAGACACGCGTCAACGGACGGAACAAATAGGACTGTTTCTATTTCGTCCGTCCGCGTCCGTTGCACCCTCCGTTGACGGAATGCGTCCGACGCGCGGATGTTGGAGGCAGTGGAGCCACTTCCATTCACTCTCATGGAGATAACGGAGACGGAGATGAAACGGACATGTTTGGACGGATCCGTCGTCCGTTTTACACGCCCGGTGGAGTCTGGGCCTAAATAGTCGCGTTTCCACCACACAAGTTCCTGGTAAAAGGAGGGGGGTGAGACAGCTACAGGAACCGTCCTCTCACTTGGCCCTCTTTTAGTGGCCGTGTCTCCGTTGCAGAGTAGGACTCCTTGGCAATGTCATGAGTTTTGATCTCCGCGTAATAAATAATTATTTACTTTACAGTGGAAACTGCTCCGGTTGTTTTAGTCTTTGAGTTTTTCATAGTTCAGTTTTGTGTAACTTTTTACGGCATGGTTTGTGAGTGTGATTAATCTGCAGTGCTTTGAGGTGCTGATATATCTTTTCATTTTGCCGCGATGCCTAAAACCCCATCTGAATTTCTTCAGTGCTGTAGAAGGCAATTGCCTTCACATCATCATCTGTCCATTTATTGTACATCTTGCTGGGTCCTTCGCCGGGACCTGGGAGAAGCTCTACCAGGGTGTGAGTTTAAAGTTTTTTCTGACGGGGGGCTCAGCGACACATTCCCAGCAGAACCTTACTACACGCTTGGGACTGCCAGGTCTGACCTGCTTCCTCCCCTGCTGGCGGATACAACTCAAGACCAGCTGGTGATCGGTTGACAGCTCCGCCCCTCTCTTCACCCGAGTTTCCGAGACACGAGGCCGAAGGTCAGATGACACAACAACAAAGTCCATCATCAACTCAAGCCTAGGGTGTCCAGGTGCACCGGTGGACGGACACCCTTGTACTCAAACATGGTGATCGTGATGGAAGTCCAACAACTGACCTCGGGTTCAGATCAGGGGAACCGTTCATCCCAATCACCCCTCTCCAAGTGTCACTGGCATATCCCACATGGGCGTTGAAGTCCCCAGGGAAAATAACAGAGTCCCTTGTCTGTGCACCGTCCAGTACCCCTACTACGGACTCCAAGAAGGCACTCTGCATTGCTGTTTGGCCCGTAGGCCGTCACAACAGTGAGAGACTTGTCCCCCACCCGGGGGCAGAGGGACGCGGACCCTCTCATTCACTGGGGAGAACTACAACACATGGTGGCTGTGATGGGGGGCAATGAGTATGGCCACCCCGATCGCCGCAAAAAACATCAGAAAATGTAAATACATTCTTTAAAACACAAATGTGATTCCTGAATTGTTCTCTCATTAAAATTACAGACATTTCTCAACTTTATAAGTGGGAGAACTTGAACAATTTGAGACAAAACATTTTTTTACCCCACTGTAAGAATTATTGCCCAAAGCAACACAGAAAGTGTTAGACGAGCTATAAGTTACAGTATAGGTAGATTTTTCCATGCAAGTATAATAGCAGAATGATACACATGCGCCTGGACCATAATCTTACTTTGAACGCCATATGTATCACAGAGGACAGATGGGGGAAAGAAAAATGGCGATGAAAATGGGGATAGTCCATGCAATGGCGCCTTGAAATGGTCCTACTGAAATACTGTTTTTTTTCCCGTGCCTACCTGTCTGCCTGTTTCTGATGACAAAGAAGAAAGGGTGATCTGCCATCACTTGTGGATACAATACCAAGGTCCGCGTCAGGGCAATCATTCCTGAGAGAAACCAAAAGTAATGTGTTGAATTGAGAAAGGGAAGCTGCTTCATTGGAAAGCAGGGCATATAGAAATCAAACCTGAGCCCGCTGCTCCCTCAGCCCCCTCTTCCGTCACCTCCAGATAGGCCTGCTGCACCGCCTTACTCACAAACAAGTCCTTCCCATCTGCAAGGAAATAGAAGGTTTCACAGAACAAAGCAATATCAGAGTCCAGGCTGGGGATCTCTAGGCCCCTCACAAAGCAATATGTTTGATACATGCTTCACAATACGATATTCACATTATGGCAAAAATGCTATTATAGAGATTGCTCTTATAATTGTAAAAGTCTGATGATTAATGCATATCAATGGGAAGAGGCTCATTTTAAAGCAGACAAAGAGAGGACCAGCACATGCTTTCTTTGTTCAATGTTGGTTGATTGCTCTTTTGCAATCAACCAAACATCTGGTGTTGCAGGACTTCCTGTATCCGGTGAGCGTGTTTTTTGACTACTATCACTCTGCTCTCTGTTTGCACTAACAAACGCATTAAAAATCCACGTAGTGTACACCAAGCTAACTGTGTAAGCACTCTTAGTCAGCTGTACTGCAGCTGAGGTTTAGGTAGCGGTTGTTTGTCTGGCCTCGGAGTCTGTTGTGCGGGGCCCGGATCCGGACTAGCTTAGCCTAGCCTAGCCGCTAACTCGCTACTCCTATGGCGGCTGCTGTCTCTCCCTCAACCTTTACTGCTCGAGTTGCCATATGGCGAGTCTAAACCCTGGATCCTTCTCTGAGGGTAGTGAAAGATGTGTGAAGTCTAGTGTAGTCGTAGCTCTGGAATCCAGGGTCAGTGAGTTAGAGCTGCGTCTCCGAGCACTGGAGTCTCGAGCTAGTGCTAGCATTAGCTACAGCCAGGCCGTATCCTCAGGGACAGCGGAGCGCAGCTTTAGGGAAAGGCAGAGGAGAACTAGAGAGCCTAGCCTCCCAAGCCCGTCCTCCGCAGCTGGGACAAGACCAGGATAGTGATGGCACATTGGGCCTTCTCCTGTTAGCATTTACAATCGCTGGGACGCTCTGTCCGGCTGCGCCCCTGCGCGGCCGGGCGGGTTAGAAGGCCCCACTGAGAGAGCTGCTGATAGAGCTGCTGAGAGAGCTGATGGAGTCGCTGATGCGCTGGTAATTAGCTCCTCTATTGTTAGAGGTGTGAAGATCCCAGGAGCCACTGTTCGGTGCTTCCCTGGGGCCAGGCTTGGTGATATTGAAGGGAATCTGAGGCTCATGATGACCCACAAGCAGCGTTTCCGTCGAATTGTTATTCACGCGGGTGGTAATGACGTTCGGCGGAAACAGTCCGAGGTGTTGAAGCTGCAAGTCGCCGCGGTGTGCAAGCTGGCTAGCACAAGGGCCGACACTGTTATCTTCTCTGGGCCCCTACCTAGCACTAGCAGTGCAGAAGCATTCAGCAGACACTTGGCTTTCAACCGCTGGCTGTCTGGCTGGTGCCCTCGAAGTGGTGTTGTTCATGTTGACAATTGGAGTGCCTTTTGGTAAAAACCCGGTCTCATCCGCTTGGATGATATCCACCCAACGTTGGCGGGTACATCCCTTTTGGCTAAGAATTTGGCCATGGCTCTAAATTGTTCTGCCCGGCTCAAATGACGGTGCAGAACTGAGGCCCGACCACAAACTCTGAGCCCCCATCTGTTCACTTACTAGCCTCAGAAGCTAGTCAGATTGAAACTGTGTGTGTGTGTGTGCCTGTGTGTGCTCAGTTACTAGCCTCAGAACCTAGTCAGATTGAAACTGTGTGTGTTCCTCGCTTGAAGTCTAAAGCACTATATAAGAGGAAATCTGACCTGGGTGTCAGACACAGTAACTTAATAAAAGTTCAGAAAGACAGAAATAGTTCTAAAAGTAGGGTTGTTAAATGTGGATTAATGAACGTCAGGTCAATCTTTTCTAAATCGCTTCTCATAAACGAACTTATTATAGACAAAAACTTGTATTTGTTTGCGCTCTCGGAGACTTGGCTCCAACAAGACGACTACGTTAGATCGAATGAGTGCACTCCTCCGACGCATGTTAACTACCAGAAAGCGAGAACTACAGGTTGCGGCGGCGGCGTTGCGATTATATCACACACCAACTTACTTCTTAGTCCCAAAACCAACAATGCTTTTCACTCGTTTGAAAACTTAACACTTTCAATCACCTGTCCTGGGTGGAGAAAACAAAAAGCGGTGCTATTTATAGTTTTATACCGACCTCCTGGTCCTTACAGCGAGTTCCTAACAGAATTCTCTGAATTCATTTCAAACCTAGTTTTGGAATGGGAAAACTGGAGACTTCAATATACTGTCCTGACCTACGGCTGTGATGTCTCCAATGTTGACGTCCAGCGTCAAAGCTCGTCGCTGTCTGACCATTTCTTGATCACGTTTGATTTCGATTTGGAGGACTTTCATGCGCCGCAAGATAAAACCACAATGAAAAGAATATGAAGGATATTTTGTGTTTTTATTATCAACACTGTAACAAAAAAGTATTCAGTGTAAATAAATTCAATGTTTTAAAATTCAGTGTCCAAAAATTCAATGTTTTAAAATTCAGTGTCAAAATATTCAATGTTTTAAAATTCAATGTCCAAAAATTCATTGTTTTAAAATTCAGTGTCAAAATATTCAATGTTTTAAAATTCAGTGTCCGAAAATTCAATGTTGAAAAAAATTCAGTGTCCAAAAATTCGTTGCATTTTTTTTCGCTGCTTGAAATGTCATGCTTTATTTCCGGGTAAATCAAGAACAAAGCAATCGATCAGCCAATCCTCCATAGATGTAGCCAGGGCCAGAACATGACTTGTCTTGTTCATCTGAACATGGCGTCCACAGCAAACCAGTAAGTGTGTTTTCTCATCATTAGTTGGTATGTAACACGCAAACCACTATGTACTTTCTGAACATGTTTTTACCTTAGCTTATCATTAGCTAGCTCCGCGTAGGTGGATTCTAGGTTTTGGCGATTCCCCAAAGCTAATCTTCGCTAATGCTAAGCTCAAATGAACCGCAGGAAAGCCAAGTACATGGGGGTTTGCGGTTCTTGTGTGACATATGTACGATGTTCCCAATTTCATTGTGTATATTATTCTAGCAGTGCAGCAAGGACGAAACCTGCTGACTGTTTTAGAGACAGAGCATGCTAAGGGGTTGTTGTTAATTATGTTGTTCATTTTTATGTATCTAGACCTCCAATAATTATTCTATCTTTACTCTTAAATTTTGACATCTTAGTGAAACCAAGATGGAATGAAGGATCGGTTCTTTTAGGGAGAAAACAAACCCATGGATTCAATATTAATGCTACAGAGAGGAATCAGACTGATAGATATGGTTTTAATTGAGTATATTTGTAAATCCCACTCTACCTCCTGTTAAAGACTGGCAATGTATTTACATTTACTGTTGATATGACATGTTAAGGTCATGTGTGTGTTTGTAAAGGCATCGTACTTCTGCTCCTCCTCAGAGCGTCTGTTTCTACTCTACTACTGTGTATTTATATTAATTAATTTGACTGGGACAGTACATGTATATGAACATATATGTCGACATGTCTGATTGTAACAAAAGGCTGATTTTAATCCCAGAAGAACCGGGTCTGTTTAAATTAATGATTTTTTTGTGTGAATTTCTTTTCCAGAGGCAGCTGTCTTCCAGAGGCCATCACCTCCAGCTTCTGTGGATTACGATATAAACTACAACGACCAATTTGTTCATTTGTTTTATTAATTACAAGTCATGGATAGTTAGAACACATCTCTCATTTTCTGATGACATATGCAGCAGCAGTAACAGCAGGTGCCTGGACGTCTGCCTCTGACACAGCTGTCTTTTCTACGGTGGACTCATCACAACCTGGAATAAAACAAAATAATTATGATTTAGTTCTTTGTGTGCAATGAAAAGTGATGTATGCGTTTTTTTATCCAACCACACAATCCGTGAGAAACATGTTTCATAGCTTGTATTTAAGTACTACTTCTAATCTTAAATACATTTAAGCCATTAACTCTGACATGATCAGTTCTGTTGGATTTCAAGAGGCAAGGAGCTTGTGCTCAAAAAGTAAGTACTCATGACCTTAAATCTGGTCTGTAAGTTCGAGTCCACGGGTCTTCTGTGTCCAGCTTCATGTTCACAGATGTCCCCCTGCACATAATCACGTTTGTACTTAATACAAATTACTTTACAACAAAGTGATGCACAAACAAGGGCCATAGCAAATCCATCAATCGCACTAAACACATGCATTATTTACATGAAATATCACATTTTTAAGACTAATGATTACTCTTAAAACAATTGTTATAACAGAGAAAGTATGATACAAAAGCCGCCTTTTTGGGTTTTCATAATTACTTCCACAGTTAAGACTGTTAGCATAAGGGAGCTCTCAAAATGACTCCCAGCGCATGACGCACCATTCTGGGCATCAGCGCAGCTCTACACCCGTGGTTAGCGTGTTAGCATTGGAGCTCAAGGCTGGAGAAAAAGTCCAAAGAAAATCTGTTTAATCACCAAACAGACCTCTGATATAACAATAGAAGGGGGTATTTCCCACCTCCAATGTTAATACAATTAAATGTTATGTCCTAATTAAAACGTAAATTCAACTTTTACCTTTACCTTATCATGGCCGGTCCTCTCTCCGCTCCATGATCCATGCTACAGCGGGACGCTCACGTACAACAGCACGGCCTGATAATAGTGTGCAGCGTCCGAATCGCCATCAGAATGAGTCCACTCACTCACTCACTATATAGTCCCGCACTATGTAGTGAGTGAGTGAATAGGGTGTAATGCGGACATTCGGATAAAGCCAAAGTCGTGTTCTGGCCCTGGCTACATCTATGGAGGATTGGCTGATCGATTGCTACTGTCAGCCAATTTCAAGCAGCGAAAAAAAATGCAACGAATTTTTGGACACTGAATTTTGTTCAACATTGATATTTTGGACACTGAATTTTAAAACATTGAATATTTTGACACTGAATTTTAAAACAATGAATTTTTGGACACTGCATTTTAAAACATTGAATATTTTGACACTGAATTTTAAAACATTGAATTTATTTACACTGAATACTTTTTTGTTACAGTTTATAGAAAAAAAGTGTTGATAATAAAAACACAAAATAACCTTCATAAAAGAACCTTAAATGATAAATCTATCACAAGGTTCAAAGAACTAATACAGCCAATGTTGAATACTGCTGCAGGTG